CACATAGACCCACCCCACCCCACCCACCGCGCCCCCACCTTGGTGCCTTGTCACCCCTTCTTTGCCCCCCCAGATAAACCCAAACGCGTCACCACCACCCCGCCAACAACACTCCCACCTTGGTGTCGATGTTATCAATGGCGTCGAGCACAAAATCGGGGTTGCCGGCCAGCACCTCATCCGTGGTCTCCTCCGTGAACATCACATTGAGGCACTCCACTTCGGCCTGCGCCACGGCACGCAACGCCAGGTGGCCGTCGCGGTGGGGCTGGTCAAGATCGGCCAAACGTGCTCCGAGCGGGGGGTTGTTGCGTAATGTGGCCAGGGAGGGAGCAAGGCAACACCGTCGACAGCACAATTGCTGCCGCCTTGTCTGAATCAGGCTGCCTGGCGCGGCGGGGCGCCACGGGCAGCATTCGAAAGAATTGGTGACGTGCGAAACGCACCTCTGGCAGTATCTGTTTGAAGTGGCGCCCTAGGCAGGTCGACTTGGCAATGCCAACGTCCTCGCGCACGGCCACGGCGTGGCGGTTCAGGGACGACAGTGTGACCTGGTCAAAGTCGACCAGCCGCAGCCGCCCCACGCCCGAGCGCAGCAGCATGTGCGCCGCGTGGCTGCCAACGCCCTGTTTTTTTGGGGGGGGGGGAGGGCGAGGCTGGCGGTTTTGGGCGCTTGCAGGGGGCTGTAACTGTGCGTTTGCTTGTCGCACACCTTGCTTGTCGCAATATTAGTGCGACAGACGCAGCTTGGTTGCAGCATGGAATGCCCTCTCTGTCATCCTTTGCAAAACCCAAAAATGGATGTTGCAGTCGCGCCGCTCAGCTCCAGCTCAGCTGCCCCTACTCACCCCCAGGCCCACGACCACAACAAAAGATCGAGCGATTTTCTTCTGCGCCTCCAGCCCGAAGAACTGCACGTTGCGTGTCAGCTGCTCCATCAGAATATCATCCTGATCAAAGTCGGCAAGGCCATGCTGGGCCTGGTGCAGGGCCGGCGCGCCGGTGCCGCCGCTTTTGCTGCTCATGGCCGCCGCCGTCGGTGGGGCGCCCGGGCGTCGGAAGTTTGTGCTGTCATTTGATCGTGTCAAATAATAGATCGCGGCTGTGGATACCGCCGCTCCCGCGAGGGCACCCGCTGCAAAGGATGACAGTGACTTTGAGTCCATGCAGAGTCAATGTGGGGTTGGTCGTGCTTGTAACGGTTTCAATTATTGTTTTACAAGCGTTTGCGATCAGAACCTGATCACCAGATCAAGCGCGAGGAGTGCTCATAGACTTGCAGCAAGGTCACAGAAGGTCGGACGCGTTTGATTAAAAATATCATAGAACATACAACTGAGTTCATAGACCAGCCTCACGCCCGAACGGGCTGCGGGTTTGCAGGATGGGAGCCTCAGAAGAGGACGCTGTCCTGCGCCAGATCCTCGCTGTGACACTCAACCCAGATAATGCAAAGGGCAGCGTAGGTGACGCGCCGATCGTGTATCTTGAGGCACTGGCAAAGGTGCGAGCACCCCCTGGCGACTCCGCCGCGTTGCAATCGCAACCGTCAGCACGGCGCCCCGTGCGGCCTGCCGCATGCACGCACGCTCCGTGCGCCGCACGATCGCCGCATTGCACCCGGACGCTCGCACCCCGACGCTCGCTCACGCAGGAGCTTTCCGAGGAGGCGCCGGGCAGCGGGCCCCCGCTGATGACCCACGCGACGCTGGACCGCGTCATCGTGTCTCGCCTCATCGAATCCCCGCCCAGCAGCTACCCCCAGCCGCCGCTGCACTACCTCCTCGGATGCTACGCGCGCGCGACCGACCAGCTGCGCGCCGCGGCGGCGGCGGCGCGGCTGGACGTGGATGCGAAGCAGCGGCTGCAGGCGCTCGTGCTGGAGGCGCGGGCGCAGGTGGTGCAGTATGCATGCCTGCTGCTGTCGGCCAGCGGCGTCGTGCCGGAGGTGGGTGTCTTGCCATGCTGGCAGGCAGCGATGGGGGTGGTGCTGGTGGTGGCGGCGGCGGCCGCAGCGGCGGCGGTAATGGTGGTCGTTGTGGCGGGCCCGGCTGTCGGCAGGATTCTTGCTGCACAGCATGACATTTCAGATACCATGCGGCCGAGAACGAGCAACCGCCAGGGATTTTTTCTACAACAAAGGCTGCCCGTCGAGCTGACCTGTGCACTCACCTCCATGTATAGAAGAGCGCCTGACACACGCCACCCACCACGTTGTCGGCGCCCACCGCCTGCAGCCCCCGCAGGCCGCCGAGCGCGGCGCGCGCCAGCTGGCGGACGCCCTCCTGGTCGCGCACGGCGCGCGCGCCGAGGGCGGCGCGGTGGCGCTGCCGCACGGCTTCCTGGAGGAGCTGGCCGCAAAGTGCGACGGCCTGGAGGCTGTCTTGAGGCCCGTGGGTGAGCCGCTGCAGCTGGCCAGCTGGCCTCGGCCGCTTGCGTTGGTTCGGCCGAAAGGAGCAGTTTGGGGGGGTGCGGGACAGCAGGAAGGCATGAGCAGAAGGAATGGGATAGGCAGCTGCGCCTGTGCAGGGTGATGGAGTGAAATTTTGGAGAGTTGGTCCGCGTCCCCCAATCGCGGCCTCGGTGCTGACTCAGCTGCGGGCGAAAGTCGCGTCACAGTGGTTTGCAGCGATTGCAGCACGGCGTGGCTTCTGCTAAACTCTAGCTTGAGCGCACGCACGCGAAAATCGACAGGGCCGCGGCTGACGCTGTGCCCTTTCGGCACACATATTCTCGTCCTCCCCGGCCGCAGCGAGCGAGCTGGCGGCGAGGGTGCAGGCGTGCTCCCCGCTGGGCGACTACGCCGCCCCCCTGGCCGCGGTCAGGCAGCTGGTTTCGGTGGAGCCCATAGCCCAGGTGCGACCAGCTGCCTTGGTAGACGGCCGCACCCACACGGGGCTACGGCAAGGGCCGCTCCCGCTGGGGTGACGGACGGCCCGAGCAGGGCAGCAGCGCCGCGCCTGGAGCGCCGCGCCGGCGGCGGCCGCAGCAAGCCCTGGGCCTGCCTGCCACAAAACCATCGCTATTAAACATAAAACCAGTCAGCTTGCCACTCTCAAGCTTCGCAGGCGACCTCTGCTCTGATATCCTGCCTTTTACTTTACCTAAAGATTGCAGTACCCAAACCTGTCCTGCGCAGGCGCTGGTGGCGCTGCCGACGTTTCTGCCGGACCTGAAGGCCTACTCTGGCCGCGCCCTGCAGCTGTCCGGCAGCAGCTGGCTGGGCCCCTGCTTCAGCGTCAGCGTGCTGCCGGACCAGCTCATAAAGCAGCAGCCCAGCATCCTGACAGAGTGCTTCGCAAACCCGGAGCAGCGGCGGCAGGTGGGCGGGCCGGGGTGAGGGTCGGCAAGGGGCAGGCGCCGCAGCAGGGGGTCGGAGCTGGGTGCCTAGGGGCGATTGAGGCGGCCGTTGGGGGCGAGGACTCGGATTTGGAGGAGTTGAGTGGGCAGGCAGCTGCCGAACAACACGAGCAGTGCCTTTTCTGTTGCAGTCTGGCCGAAACCGCCCATGTTTGCCGGGAACACCCAATCGACGGCTGCGGTCTTGCACCGTGCCCCCGTCCAAATGTCTACCACCGCCAGAGCGACCTCGTGCGCGCGATGGCCAGCCTGCGGCTGACGTCCAAGCACATCGTCGGGGAGCTGCACGCGCTGGTCAAGGCGCTGCTGGGGAAGGGCACGCGCGAGGCCGCGCTGACGTGGCTGGCCGGCGCCCTGGAGGGCAACGCGGAGCGCGGGAAGATGCGGGTGGGGGCCCGGGCCTGACGCTTGAGGGTGGTGCACGTGCGCACGTGCGCATTGGCGGCTGGTGGGGCCGGCGCCGGCAGCCGCATGGGTTCCTAAACTTTTTTGGCTGCTGACTAGTTGATTCAGGGCAGCGGGATCCTCGGGCTGCGCGCAGCAGCCGCAGCGGCGTCGAAAAGCAAGCCGTGGCCGCCGCGTGCGTGCGGCCGCGGTCCCTACTGCTCCCGCCCGACTGCAAAGTCAACGGCACTATCGCCCCTCCCAATGGTGTGTCGCGCCGCGCAGCCCAACATCCAGGCGGCGGCGAGCGACGGGCTGTTCAGCAACCTCGGCTGCGTCATGCTGCAGCTGTGCGCGCCGTTCTTGGACCCTGCGGCGCCGCTGTTCTGGAAGCGGGTGGACGTGCGGTACATACACCAGGGGCGTCTGTCCTTCGCAGAGGTGCGTATACACGCGTGTGTGTGTGTGAGAGAGACAGAGAGTGTGTGTGTTTGTGTGTGTGTTTGTGTGTGTGTGTGTGTGTGTTCGTATGTGTTACCTGTGTGTGTGTGCAGCGTCGATGTGAGGGTGCTGTCGCAGCGGCGCGTGCGGCTGTGTTGGGTACTTTTCTTCAGTGCTGTTTAGCACGACCGGTCGGCTGCAAGCCTCGTGCTCGGCTGCATCACTGTGTCCCCGGGTCCTCCCACCCCTCCAGCCTCTCCTGGCATCTATGGGCCCTGCTGAGATGCCTGCTGCTGGTCGCTTGCAACACATCCCCCCCGTCCTTCCAAAAACCTTTTCAGGACACCAAGCTGGCGGCCAGCGCTGACGAGGAGAAGCAGTGGCTCCAGAAGCAGCAGGAGCAGCAGGAGCAGCAGCACCAGCAGCGGCCAGAGTTCCATTTCGTCTGCGAGTCGTTCTTCATGGCGCTCAAGACGCTGCACTTGGGGCTGGTGCGGCTCATAGACAGGTGCGTGCGGGGGCGTGTTGGCATGTTGGCGTGCGTGTGTGTGTGCATGTGCGCGCGTGCATGTGCAGGTGAGCGCGAGCATGTTTTGCAAGTCAACGCGTTCCGTGTGTGCAATTGCAAGCAAATGCTCGCCGTCTGTCGTTATGGACTGTCATTGTTTGCACATTTGGTTGCAGGTGCACTTCTGGGAGTATGCTCGGGGCCTTTCACACCACACTTGCAGGCCCATCCAGCAATATTTGTATGCATGCCTGCTGGTGTGTGCGCAGCTGCCCTGGTTACTGATGTCCATTGAACGTTCGTTTTTTGAAATGCAGGCGTGACAGCTACGCACGTGAGCTGCAGCACGTGATGCGGGAGGTGCAGGCCATGGAGGGAGCGCTGGAGAGGTGGGGGCAGGGGGTTGGCGTGATGGTGGGGGTG